TACGGTATCACCTTTCACCTGCCAGCCATCGTCTCCCTGACAGTCGAATTGTTTGAGCAGGCGACCTCAGGCACGTCTAAAATTCGTCCCTACCGAAGTAGTCAGAGAGATCTCCTCATTCAAGGGACACGTGGCATACCAATCCGTTCCTAACGTACTTTCGTGAAATGTGGGCGTTGCGTTACACTGCACTCGTAGCCGCCATAGCTCAGTCGGTTAGAGCGTGGGTCTAATAAGCCCAAGGTCGCAGGTTCGACCCCTGCTGGCGGCAAATCATTTTGAGCCTTTTGCAACTACGAATTACATTACAATGTAGCCAGTCATAAAATTTTGTTTACTTTCCATCAGAAGAAATTGAAAAACTCTGCTCATCGGCCATTGAGATAGCTAAATTCGAATTCGGACCAAATTTGTACCCTATCTTGAGAACATACATCGCTTGTCGTCCGGTTTATCATAGATTCGCTCGGATGGGGCTAAATAGCGTCCCCATTGAGCTCTCTCGCGTGTCAATATAGTCCGGATGTCCCTTTCCACCCGAGGGGTACTTGGGGAAACATTCCATTCACTCAAAGGTTTGGGAAAAGGAGTGGACGCCTGGCTTGATTTCAGTGTGCGTTCAGCCCCGCTCTCCCTACCTCTCCCCTTCCCCTACCACAGAGTGTCAGAAATGGTCTGATGACAGCTTTCTCTGGGAATTGACTGATTGAAGTCGATCTCGAACCACCTACTGAGGCAAACTTTGGCACCTTTATGATATCAGTCTTCTGAAGGGTAATACAATCTTTTTGTAACATAGAGTAGAAACGATCAACACTTTCAATAAAATTTGAACAGTTTTTGAAAGTCGAAAAGAAGATGAGAAGCCAGACGTGATGTGCCAGCGTAAATGTACGACTGTAAAGAAGAAAGAACGGAATTTTCATTGAAAAAAAACGTCGTAAAGCAAATACAAACGAAGCTCGCTCGGAACATGAAACAACCAGGTGCCCGTAAATTATGGATTGCCTAGGTCGAGAGCTGATAACGTCACTGATAAACTCAATAAAACGCTTTTTTTAATATGCCATTGCCATTTGCTGTAAGAACCGATTACGCAAAGAAGAATCAGTTCAACAGTCATTTCCAGCCGTTCAACTACCCATCTTGAAGGAGGGTGGGGGTCCATCTTCTATATGATTATCATTACTCATTGGCTAAAAATGAACAATTTTTCAAAACTAAAGTTTCAGTAACACTTACTAAAGCTCAGAGCTACTGCCATTTATCTAAAACTACTGCCATTTATCTATGGAATACAGTATTCCAGGAAGTTAGTGTTTACAGAAACCACCCACTGAATGAATTCCAGCGAATTTTTCAAACTCATTGTTGAAATTTAACGTTCTTTCGGAGAAATACTGGGTAGAAAAGTTATAAATTCAAAAGAAATTGTATCTGTTGCTTGGCAAGTATTACTGGAGTACGTTAAAAAAAATTGTAGTTCCGAGGTGGTATATTTTCTTGTTCCCTGTTATCCATTGAAATGTTTCAATAGATAAGGAAAATTGTACGATTTCATATCCTTATGTTAATATTTTTCTAATTTTTTCAACAAAAAGCAGCTAACTCTTTGTATATTACGGAACCACAGACGGAGGAGGTGTAGTGGCAAGTGGCAAGTGGCACACTAAAACAAGCACACATGACCCGGGGATCGATACCCGCTATAGCAACCAAGCATTCCCCACCCTTTCAGAATTGCTTATTGTCTTATGTTTTGTGAAAGCCTATATAAAGAGTGTTTTTATCCTCCCAGAACCGTTTGGGAGGATGAAAACACTCCGTATGTCAGCTGTCAAGTGTGTTCGATAACTGATAGGCCATAAACGCATTCAAAGCATCCCATAAATGGGACTGATCAACTTCGAAGACTTTAGAATCATTCCTGAGTAACGCCAAGGTACCCTATGGTATGCATAACAAAGGAAAACTTCTGTAGCGTACGCCATGCATTCAGATTCTTTCGAACGAGGTTGCTTTAACTGATAAATATCACCACGTGGGCATGTCTTTCAGTGGATCGCATTCCAAAAAAATCCTAAGCGACAGTAATCTCTTACTACAGTAGCTACGATTATTCCTTTTACCTTAAAAAGTCTTGCCGCCGAATTGCGAAAAAAGCAGAGCTCTGTAGACGACTCCGAATACAAAAGGACGGGTTTATTAAAATTGACCGGCACAAGCATTGATGAAATTAAAACATACGAACACAAGAAATTTCCTAAATTACAGTATTACTGTCACTACTCAACTACATATAAAACATACGAAATAAGCTTTGCAACTTTTTCCGCTAATAAATTAATTCACTACAGTATCGTACCTAAATTGGATATTTTTTAAAAATATCTCTAGGTGAAAGGAGTTAATACGACAAAGCCTGATGCCGTCGGGGAGAACGTTAGGTTATAAAAAAGTGGTGGGTGTGGAGAATTAAGCAAAGAAGAAAGGGTGCAAACTGGGCTTTTCGAGAATTTTCGTGAATAAAACGGACACAAAATTACAGTATACCGATTTTTGGGCGGAAATTGAGATAAATAAATGAGTGTACGAAGTAATTTGAGAGTAGATTCGATGTTGAGGTTAGGATAAATTGGTGAAGAACGACATGACTGCAATTATACCTTGAAACCATCTAGTTGAGACTTTGGAACGTCAAACGTTCTGCTCATCATGTCTTTTTGTTCTAGTAGGTGAGTAAACTTGTTTCCAGTGGCTGGAGAAGCTGATGGATGGCGTCCAGTGTAGCGAATTGTACGGTTCTGATGCTGCATAAGGCTGTTGATACGTGGCTGTACAAAGCCCCACGCGCCCATGTTCTTGTGCTCCTGAAAGCATTCATTTAGCGGTGCTTCCATTCCCGAATACGACTTGGGAACTACTTTTTTTTCAGAAGAAGACTTTGATCGCATTAAAACGCGTGTGGAGGTTATCAAAAAGTTATGGGAGCAACCAGAAGAACACTAGCAGGAATCCCAGCCGCCACCCATGATAAATAGCACTTGATCCTACTTCATTCTTACGCCGACGATTCACAAGTGAAGAAAGGACTGTAACGAACCTCTTGAGACCAAATTAGCTCTGCTCCGGGATATTTCTGGCATTCGGCTTGGATTAAGTCATAGGGGAAGGGAGAGATTTGTTCAATACGGCAAATCGCGACTGAATCCTCTTTTCCCACATGCTTCCTAGCCATGACCAGATCATAGTATACCTTTCCTGAATCAATCACCAATTAATTCTACCAGAGCTTCAAGCCATGAACTACCAGAATGACTGCTGGACATATTGGCACTTACCTGTGCAGAAGACAAGCCGTTGGACATTTCCGTTATGCTTAGCGCTATCCGGAATAACCCTCTGGAATTTGGTGCCAGGCAAGAAGTCCTCAATCGGTGAACGAGCCAATGGGTGACGAAGTAGGGACTTTGGAGTCATCACCGCAGCTGGCTTACGGAACGGCATTGCAATCTTAAAAAAAACAAAGATAATAAGGAAAAAAAACGAATCATGGAATGGAGACTGCCAGAAATCATAAAAGATGGCGATGGAATAAAGGGAATCAAATAATAAAAGAGAAAGAGCTTACCTGTCTTCTGAGTAGATGGAAAATATTGGCCGGAGTGGTACAATTAGCGACAATCCAGTTTGTATCATGAAGCTGTTGAGCTTCAAATGTACCACCGAATGCGATTTTCTACAAAATAAATCATAATAATGAAAACTTCAGAAATGCCTTCAAGACACCAAAGTTAAGTGCCCACTTCAAGATCGATCTGATCATCCTCATTGCACATTTGAAGATATCTCTCTGGACGAGCTGACGAGTGTTCAGGTCCCATTCCTTCGTAACCGTGAGGCAAAAGCATTACGAGACCAGACTGACGGATCCATTTCGATTGTCCTTAAAAGGACCAAAGTATCAAAGTCGTCAAAGTAATCCTCGAGGGAAAAGTAAGCCTCTCACAATAAATCGACTGAACAACACAAGAACCAATCAGTAGTCAAGGAAACCTACCCGATGCAACAAACTGATCGATAACACACTGAGCAGTGTTAGCGAAATCACCGAACTGCGCTTCCCAAATGACCAGGGAATTCGGGTTAACCATAGAATAACCTACAATTTACAGCCTTGAAGACAAGAAAACAAAGTACCAATAAAGGCATAAACATGGAAAAAGAAACGAATTAGGCAAAATGGACTATACCGAGCTCAAATCCAAGAACAGCATATTCCGACAGGGAGGAATTACACACTGTGTATTTCGCTTGACCTTCTTGTAGATCATTTAGAGGATTGTAAGTCTGAAATAGGAAAAAAACTACTCGCCATTACTAGCTTTTCATTGTTTTATACTGTGCCCTCACATAGCTTTTCGGCAGCGTTAACAAGGGCAGCGAACACAAACTTTTTATAACGAAAATGTCAGTTGCATAAGGGGCCTGATATGATAAGATGCTGTGCAACAGAACAAACCATACAAATAGAATCTAGACCGCCCAACTTACCTTTTGATCAATCACTTGGTCGTGCAGAATGTGGTGCCTGTGGGAAAAGGTTCCACGT